GAATGACAATAAGACAAAAGACAATGGGAAAGCAAGATTGGATTTAGCCATTTATTGTGACCGAAGAAAACTGCACATGGGATATAATACGCATGGTAAGCTTGTGAAACCTAATGCTAGTTATGCACTGACATCTGAAAAACAAAAGTTTCTATGTGTGTCACGCCCCAAAACCCAATTTCGAGATGCGACAGATGTCGTGCACTCGTGAGACGGGTCCCACAAATGCACAAGGCTCGGAACTTATCATACTGTACTCTAATACCACCAAAATCTGAAGATCAAATTATAAAATCTCTCTGATATCATAAATCTCCAATAAAATCTCCAAATACAAGATCATGATTCATATCTAAAATTTATATCCAATTACGATATGGCTAGCCTTCTAACTCGTCACTTCTCATGGTTTCCCCATCCTCGGTTTCACTTCCTGAAATGGTGGACAAGGAAAAACTATGAGATAAACTCAGTAAGTAAATATGGAGTGCCCTTATTAAACTTATAGCATGCCAACAAGTGCAATTACAAAAAAAAGATACAGTACGGGAACGAAATAGACGTCTCCTCTATAGGTCATGGCCAGTGTATTAAACTTCCCACTGGCAGGCTACACTTGAACGAACCGGTTCTATCAATAACATGTCGACATGTGCTAGCGTTTAACCCCCACTAGCAGGATTACAATAACATAACCACATCGGAGACAAAACAGGCAAAAGTTAACAGAAAATCATTCTTTACAATTAACTTTCAAATCATCAGGACAATCAAATGAACTTCAAGTAGGTATGCTCAAATCCATAAAAATCATAAAAATTTTCAGTTCAAATCAATCATACTTATTTTGTATAAAACGGGTTTAGTCCCGTCACCACTTCAAAAACAAATCAAATTAAAATGTGCTTTAAAATCGGAGGGCGTTACCATAATTTACTTACCTCACTCGCATAAAACCGAGCACTCAATTCACGCACTAACTGACAGAACGATCGGGAACCTAATCAAAACACCTCAGAATTAATACCGGATTATCACACATTCAAACTGAAATCATCATTAGGATCACTCCTAATCACAATGCTATTTCCATAAATCTCCACATGATCAAATATCTCCATTCTCATATCACAAACTAATCATTTAAATCCCCGTTAATTGTTGGCCCTCGGTGTGTGAACAGTGTCGGTGAACAGTACCCCGACTTTCACAAATTGGCCAAAACACTAGCTAATTCCACAGGATTTTCTCCAAAAATCACATAGCAATCCATTAACACTCAATGGTATAAATTCCACTTGAATCAAGCTAAATCATGGTCTAATTACTATCAATTTCATCCCCATTTTCTAGCCAAATTCAGACATCACACGGCAGCAAACTAATCAAGCTAATTCTACCTTAATCAAGCTTAAAAACAATGGTTTAAGGCTGCCACATACCAGAATTTTCTAGCAAGAACCGGAGCTAGTAGGTTGGGGAAGGCCGGCCAGATTTGCAGGGGAAAGCTCACGGAACTACCCAAAATTGGAGGAACAAGAGCAATTAAAGTAAACCCAAGCCACTTCAAGGAAAAACAAAGGGATTTAATGGTTGTTTCTTACCCAAAACCCAAGCAATTCGCCCCCACAACAAGAGTAGCCGGCGGACAGAGCAAAGCAGAGCAGATCCGGTTTCTGCAGAGAGGGAGGGGAAATTTCTGGGTTCCAAATCAGGTTCTAGAACAAGAAAGGAAGGGGAAAATACCAAGCTTCCTTACCAATTTTCCAAGGCATGGCTGGGTTCTCTTTTTTCTTTGTTCGGCTGCAGAGGGGTCGGGAAGAGCAGAACACACGGGCTGGAAGAAGAAAAGAAGGAAAGAAAAAGATAAAGAAAAGAAGTCATCCTTATCCAAAATCTTTCCCTCTTTAAGTCCCTCAACTTTTGAAATATTCACATTAGGCCCCAAAACAATCTTTTCTCACAATTAAGTCCCTAACTTACACTTAAATATTCCTGAAAATTTGGGATATTACAATGTGCATGGCTAAAACAGTTGCGCTTTCCAGATGGGTTTGCTTCCAACATATCAAGATGTGTCAACTTGAATGAGTCCAGGTTATTTGGGATGAAAAGTCATGATTGTCATGTTTTCATGCAACGACTAATTCCAGTTGCTTTTCGTGGTTTATTGCCATCTACTATTTGGGGTCCTTTGACCGACATTAGTAACTTCTTTCGTTCACTTTGTTCCCCGGTCATTAAAGTTACTGAGATGCAGAAGTGGGAGGCAAAGATTGTTGAAATAATTTGTAAGTTAGAAATAATATTCCCCCCAGCATTCTTTGATTCTATGAAACATCTAGCAATTCATCTTCCATATGAGGCCAGAGTTGGTGGTCCTGTTCAATTTCGTTGGATGTACCCATTTGAAAGGTAAAAAATACAAAGAAATTGATTGATAATTTTAAAACTTATTTTTGATTACTTTTTTGTAAATTAATCTTATCAGTATTTCTTTTTAGGCACATGCGCAAACTTAAGAGTACCATAGGGAATAAAAATCATGTCGAGGCATCAATTGTTGAGGCATTTATATTATACGAGATATCTCACTTTTGCTCTCGTTATTTTGGGGATGATGTTGAGACAAGCTGGAATCAGCCTCCAAGGAACTATGGTGGCATTGGAACCAATGTTCCAGGTAAGTTATCCGTATTTTGTTCCCTTGGTGAATCAATAGGGGCCCACTCACGTACACGATGTTTAACATTGGAGGAGAAAGATGCAGCTGAACTATATGTCTTGCTAAATTGTAAGGAGGTTGATGTTTGGGTAACGTAAGGTTTACTTCTTAGAAAAATAAGAATTACATGATGTTTAATTTATTTTCTCAAATTTTTAATTAAATATTAAATATTACTAAATTAATTTTTTTTTTCAAATATAGGTGTTTAGTGGACAATATGAAATCAATGAACTTATCCACCTTGCAGTTGGCCCCGATCTTTGAAGTGAATGTTTATAATGGGTTCTATGTGAACGGCTTTAAATTTTTGACTGAAGAGTTTACTAGTACTAGAAAGACATATAACTGTGGTGTTTGTGTTAAAGGAGCCACCATTAATTCTGCAGATGAAACTGATTATTATGGTGTCTTAAAAGAGGTGATCGAGTTATTGTATTATGGACACTCAGGCCATCAAGAGACTATAATTTTGTTTAATTGTGATTGGTATGACACGAACCGAGGAATACGTGTCAATGTTGAACACGGAATTGTTGATATCAATCCAGGGTTTAAACTTTCAACGAGGGAGCCATTTTGCCTTGCTAGTCAAGCACAACAAGTTTATTATACTCCATATCCGGTAGCCACGGATAGAACTATCCGGGGATGGTTGGCAGCATGTAAAATCAAATCTAGACATCTAATTGAGACCTTATCTACCTCATCTTCAGGAGAGGTTGATGATATTTTTCAAGATGATGACCCCTCCATAGTGCAAGGCTCTTCATTAGCTATAGATTTAACTGCATACCAATCACTTCAACTATGTGCAGAAGGTGTTACAGAAGTTGAGGTTGATGCTAATACATCTGAAGAAGAGGAGGACTATGGAGAAGAAAAAGATTCAGAATCCTCAAGAAATAGTGATAATGTTGAGGATGGTGATGATAGCGATGATAGTGATCATTAATTGAAACATCTGTATTATTACTTATTAAATATATGTATTAAAATTTCTTTGTCTTACATATATTGTTTTATCAAGTTATATATTTTTCATTTAAAATAGAATCATTGTATGATTGTTCTAAATTTATTACTTATTATTTGTATAAATGTATTAATAACTATTTTGTTATTCATTTTTCAGGATGTCTGGAAATCCTGCAGGTTTAGCAAGGAGGAGATCTTCCTCCTCAGGATCACAAGAGCAACACAATTTTAATCACCCACAGCTATTTACTGATAGTAGCGTAGCTCCGGATATACAGCAAACGATTGACCCATTAATAAATTATAATTTTGCACCTGATCATGAGAACGAGGGCCCTTCATCCTCGACGGGGAAAAAAGGACGGAGCAGGAATTTCAAAGGAATACGCCCTCTAGAAAATAGAGAGAGCAGGAAATGGGTTAAACTCACTGATGATAAGCTCCAGTTTGTTGATCCAAACATCCCTCGGGCTATCACTTCACTATGGAAGTCACGTTTTGATGGCCCGTATTTCACATTTGAGTGTGTCCCCCAGAGCAAGATTGCTAAAATTTATAATTGTTTCAAGGTAAGATTCAGTTTTAGCAAATTTAATAAAATGAATGGATTTAGCAATTTCTAATAAAAATAAATAATTTCATTACTAAACTAGAATTTACATTTCTCAGACATCTAATGTTCTTTATTTCTTATTTTGCAGACACTTTACCAGTAGGATCCTGCAGATAATCGCCATGTGCGAGATGCATTCCTAAATTGTATGAAACATAGATGGAGTGACAATCTCAGGGATGAGAAGTTGAAATGGGACAAGAACTCAGCCTATGTCCCATGTTGGATCCCAGCTCATATATGGCCTCAACTGCTGACATATTGGGACTCTGATGAATATAAGAGGCTCAGTGCAAGGGAAGCAAAGAATAGGAGCTCTGGGGAAAGGGTGACTCACACCACTGGGTCCGTTAGCTTTGGCATCCATGAGATGCGGATGCTAATCAAGCTTAATTAATAAAAAATTTAATATATTAGATTTTATTTAATATTAAATTGTGTCAATTTATACTAACCAATATATTGCATTATCATTATCAATATTTTGAAATATAGATTGAGTCTAGAGGTGGTGTGCAACCTCCCCATCAGGAGAAATTCAAGGAGACGCACACCTTCAGAAAAAAGGCGGGAAAAGATCAAGAGCCATCGTGGATCAATGAAAAAGCAAAGTATCGATATGTAAGTATATATAACATATAAATTAGCATAAAATTTATAGTTATAAGTGTGAAAAAAATTTATGTAATTAATCTAAATTATTTAGCAAAGTCTACTTTTTTTTATAGATTCTTTTCAAACTACTTTTGACAACATTATTACTATTACTATTATTTTTTCAGGATACTTATGTTGCGGAGTGCACAGATAGTCATGGCTCTGATGCTAGTTCGTGGCCACACATGGATAACGAGGCATGGGTTAAGGCTGTTGGAGGTTGCTCATCTAATTTCATGCCAGGGATTGGCTCCCAAGTAAATCTAGAGATGGTTGGTTTTACTTACAGAAAGAGACAACCCCGAGAAAACTTAATAGCAGCACTGATGGCGTCTGACTATGAGGAGACACAGGCAAAAGATCATGAGGAATTAGAAAGACAACGCCAACAAATTGCTTTGATGCAACAGTAGCTGGCCAATATGACAGCAGCTCAGAATAATATGAGCCAAACAATCGCACAGTCTGTTGCAGCAGCTCTAGCCGCTCATGGCATCTCCCCTCAGGCAGGTCATCATCTAGTTGCCCCACCACAGCCGTCACATGGTCCTGGCTTAGGTCTTCGCATGAATTCAGCTTTCACCTACTCCACTGATTCTACACAAACCTCTCCTATGGTCCCTGAATATCAGCAGCAGCGGCAATTTTCGCCTCAAGATGATGATGCATCCTACTTTTGATCTAGACTATCAGGGTCCTTAGTTTTTTTATTTTTTTGCTACGCACATTATCTGCATACTTTGCATGGTTAGCTTTATTTCTATTAGTACTTTAAAATGTTAGCTTTAGCTTTAGCTTTTATTACGATATATTTTCTTATTTTGCTTGACCTTTAGTGATCATACACTTCAAAAGGTATGAAGTTTTGGACTGCTTTGGAGGTTAACTATTATTAACTAAATATCGTGGGTATTTAAAACAATGGTGTGTGATTGCCATATATACTTTATGGTTGTAGTTGTGGTTGAAAAGGTATAATTGTTTTTAGCATACTAGATTTGTAGAATATATGTGTTTTTCATTGCAAATGTAGGTAAAAAAAATTGGTTTTGATCATATGTATGGGGAAACTCTGTCAAATTTTTTTTAGAATTTACACCAACTAAAATGACCAAATTACAAAAAATCTATTGAATAAATTTCAAATTATTGCATTTTTTTATCGAAAAATTATAGTATTGCAAATTCATATTTTTTAAAAAAAGTACATTTTATCATAAATACGAGGGAATTTTGATAATTTTTTTAAATTTTTATGTCCACTAAATTTTTTTTAAAATCTATTACAAAAATTCAGAAAATGGCATGAAAATGAAATATGGAAAGGAACTTAGGCAAAATGGACGAAATTTGGAGAGGGAGCTGCTAAATCGTTACCGGCCATACCAAAAACGTACTCCTAGTCAGTAATATCAGTTTCCAACTTGTATCTTGTCGGTGAACTCCTAGATTCCAACTTGTATCTCGTCCATAAAGTTGCAAAAAATAACCAACAGGAAGTTGGTCGGTAATTTGGGCGCCAATTGCAAAAATTTTGGTTCCCGCTCTCAGTCACCTAGCCATGTGATGTTTGTCGGTGAAAAAGATACCGACTAACTATACATGGGTAAGTTGCCATATATATACCCCCACAGTCCTACCCGGCTTATTTCTTCTGGTCTTCCTTCTTATTCTTCTTCCTCTTCTTCTTCTTCTTCTTTTTCTTCTCCTCCGGCTTCCTCCTCTTTTTCTTCCATTCAATGCTGCTGGATTAATTGTTTATATATGTTTATAATTACATTATTGATATAATTTTAGGTTGATATTTTTTCAATC